GGTGTGTGTGAACTGCAGTGTGTGTGAACCTGGAACACAGCCCCATGGTGGGTTTGAATCGGGGTGTCCAGGGCCCAGGGGTGTGTGTGAACTGCGGTGTGTGTGAACCTGGAGCACACAGCCCCAGGGTGGATTTGAATCGGGGTGTCCAGGGCCCAGGGGTGGGTGTAAACCTGGGGTGCCCAGGGGTGTGTGTGAACTGGTGTGTGTGAACCTGGAGCACCCAGCCCGGGATGGGTTTGAATCAGGGTGTCCAGGGTCCGGGGGTGGGTGTGAACTGTGGTGTGTGTGAACCTGGAGCACACAGCCCTGGGGTGAGTTTGAATCGGGGTGTCCAGGGCCCAGGGGTGGGCATGTGAACTGGGGTGGGTGTGAACTGGGGTGCACAGGAGTGGGTGTGAAACTGGTGTGTGTGAACCTGGAGCACACAGCCCGGGGTGCGTTTGAATCGGGGTGTCCAGGGCCCAGGGTGGGCATGTGAACTGGGATGGATGTGAAACTGCGGTGTGTGTGAACCTAGAGCACACAGCCCAGGGGTGAGTTTGAATCAGGGTGTCCAGGGCCCAGGGTGGGCATGTGAACTGGGGGTGCCCAGGGCGCTCAGTGCAGGCTCCTTGCAGGGTATGCAGAAGCAGAGGCCTGTGGACGTGCAGAGCGCCCTGTTGAGGCGCCACCTCCTGGAGCTCACCCAGAGTTTCATCTTCCCCCTGGTGAGGCTAGGGGCGCTGTGAGGGCCGGGGCTTCAGTGGGGCTGCCGTTTGGAGCTCATCACCTCTTCCCCACCCTCAGGAGCACTACATGACCAGCCTCATGCCCCTGCAGAGAAGCATCACAGCCTGGAAGGTGAGAAGGGACCAGCTGGGAGTCCAAAGCTTCACCGAGGGCTGAGGGATGGAGAGGGGGCGCAAAAGGTAGTGGTTTGTCTCAGGCGGTGGGGGCTGGAGGTCTTCAGATGACTGGTGGACTGTATCTGGAAGCAGCCGGTGCTCACCCCAGCCTCTGTCTCAGACGCCTCCCCAGATCCGCCCCTTCCGCCAGGACGACTTTCTGCGCAGTCTAGAGCAAGCGGGTCCCCAGCTCACTTGCATCCTCAAGGGTGACTGGCTGGGCCTCTACAGGTGGGTGTGGTCAGGGCGGAGCCGCAGGCTGTGTCTCCGCCCACTACTCAAACTCAAGGCCCATGAAACAAGCACTTGGCTGGGCCTTTATGGGGGTTTGAGGGAGAGACGTGTGGTCTGTGTCACACCCGCACCATATTTACACATTGTTCTTGCTAAGTACCTTTGAGTTGGTTCCGACTCATCGTTTCCAAGGAGCAAGGAGCGGCTAGTGAGCTAGAACCGCCGACCTTGCAGTCCAGCGCATTAACCCGCAGTGTCACCAGAACTCCATAGCCACACCTGGCTGAGCCTATATCACCCACTACACACCCACACTACACAGGCACATTTGTTAAGTGCCGTCGGGTTGGTTCTAACTCATAAGGACACTGTATAGGGAGGGGTTCTGAGGCGCAATTGCTCAGCTTGAACTTCCGATCTTGTCGCTCAAACCAACCTTGCAGTCCAGTGCAATAACCCACAGCGCCACACCAGGACTCCAACACATAGCAGGGCCTGTCTAGGTGATCAGGGCGTAGGGCCACACGGTCCAGGCGTGCGCGCACACAGTAAGCCCCTCTTCTCAACCCCCAGACGGTTTTTCAAGTCCCCCCATTTTGATGGTTGGTACCGGCAGCGGCACAAAGAGATGGCTCAGAAGCTGGAGGCGCTGCACTTGGAGGCCATATGTGAGGCTGTAAGGACTGGAGTTGCGGACTAGGGGCGGAGCCTCTGGGAGGGTGGGGCCTCAGTGGGCGGGTCCCCACGCAGAGACTCCAGCTTCTTGCTCTTTCGTAGAACATCGAATCGTGGATGAAGGACAAGTCCGAGGTGGAGGTCGTCGATCTAGTCCTGAAGCTTCGGGAGAAGCTGGTGAGACACCCCTCCGCCCCATCAGCCCCAGGCTAGGCGGACAGGTGTGCTCACCTCCCACTGCGCCCCAGCAGGTACGCGCTCAGGCGCACCAGCTCCCAGTGAAGGAGGAGACACTTGAGCGGACGCAGCTGTACATCCAGACGGTCATCGGCTCCCTGCCCAAGGACCTGCAGGCCGTGCTGTGCCCTCCGTGAGGACTGGGCCAGGGGCGCATTCTCTCTCCTCAGGATCCACTGACCACCAAGCACAAGCCCCCACCATCTGCATCATTGCTGGTCCTTGCTCCTGACAGCACACGCTATCCCCACAGTAAACACGGCATTTGGATCCATAGTCTGGTCCCTAACTGGGGGATTATCAGTCCTTCTCCTTCTAGTCCACCAACAGGGCGTCAGGAGCAAGGGGGATCTGAGGACTTTCACTAATCTGGATCCCGCTGGCTGCTGGCCTCCTAGTCCGGCATGCCCATGTGCCTAGGCCACCCCCTTGGGCATTGGACCCTTTTCCTTCTCTCATCCCCACCTGTCTTCTTTCGTTTGGTCCTGGGGACTACCTCCACCGCGGTCATCGCTAGGGAGGGACAGGATGATGCCTGAGGGAAGCAACCTGCCGCTGCTACCCTCACCGGTCCTCTGTCCCTTCTAGCTGCCATTTTGTTCCAGGACTGTGCAGGTTGTGCTGTGTAGGACTGGCCACGAGGGGGCGCATGGCACACAGCCTCGGGGAACAGTAGGCCAGGTCCAAGGTCTGCCCAAACAGGCTTTGCTTTGGTTCCCACCACTAGAAAGGACCCATCAGACACCTGACGCCGTTTTCCATCCCTCACCAGTCCATGGTGCCTACCATGGACTTCTGCCAGAGCAAATGGACCCTCGCAGGCACCACCCCCAGAAATCTGCCTCCCATGTGACCACTCCAGATTCCTAGCATGGAGAGCTGCTGTGGCTCATGCTCTACATGGGATGGCCATGTGGTCGGGTCAGGGGAGAGGTACCTGCAGTTATCACTGTCCGCGGTACTGGTTGAAGGGAGTTCCAAAGTCCATTTTGAGGCAGGTACATGACACCAGGCTTAGGGCCATCAGTGGGTGGCGCTGGGATCCCACTCACTGTTTTGATGAGGGATGGGAACCCCAAACACCTTGCAAGCATGTTCTTATCGCTACCATAGGGTCACCTCAGCTTTCACCAAGGTTGGGAGAACCACAGAAGTACTGGGAGGAGGCAAGGAAGCGAACCCCTTGGGCTGTGCATCACAGGTTCCAGATCTTCCTGATGGCCTGTCCAGAGCCGAGTCCACCTCCCGTTCCCCGGTCCCCTCCTAACACACACTTCAGGCCAGGGCAGGCTGTCCACAGGGAGGCAGACACTTGCCCTCCCCAAAGTTTTCCATGGCAGTGGGATATAGACAGGAACTGGTTGGTCCCCACCCAAGAAGCAGGGGTATAGGTCCTGAGGGCTTCCTGAGGGGAAGGGTCTGCAGCCTTGAACCCCTGAAGTGTCAGAAGGACTATGAACCAGGCGGGCACTGCGCAGGAACAGGAAGGAGGGTGCTTCCCCAGCAGACTTCCTGCACTCTATTTAAAGACCCACTTGTCTGCGAGTGAGTCCTCTCTACAGCTTTGGTATCGGAATTAAACTGTCCTTTTATGATACAACGCTTGTCTTTTAGAGTCCTTTTTAAATAAAAAGTTGACAGACTTGTCTGACCCGAGTACATTTGAGGTGCCCTTCAGTGGGGTGGGTTGTGGTTCAGGGGCAAAGAAGGGGCTTTTGAAAAAGACTGGTTGGTGAGGTGGTTGCCAGAAGACCTGTTGAGTGATGCAGTAACCACCGAATCAGATCAGCAGTGGCTTGATCAGTCTAGACTGTGGGGTTGATGGATAGGGGGTGGTGGGAGGTTCTCAGAGTGAATAGAATAGACAGGTGAGGAGGTGTGTGTCAGAGAGGAGGGGTACCTCTGGCTGGAGGGAAGGTCCCAGGTGCAGGGACAGGATGGGGATTGAGAGCGTAATCTGAGTCAAGTCCCCCATCCCTGCTCCCTAGTCTTGGGCCCAGAGACTTCATGAAGGATCCACCATTTCATCTAAGTCCAGGGGGGCCCCCAGGGACATCAGGGCCCAGACAGAGGTGGGCTGGGAACAGCCAGAATCAAAGAGGGTGCTCAAGCGTTGACATGTGCCCTGGACAGCAAAGACAACTGCCTGCTACCACCTATCATGGAATCCCCAGGGGCAGCGAGGGGGACACGGGAGGGTCCCTGATCTCCTGAAACTAGGGCAGACCTCCAGGAGTACCCTCTTGGAGAACAGGCTGTGGGAGTGGTCTTCTTTCCCCAGCTGGCATCTTCCTTGTTGGGGATGCTGGCCCAAGCCACAATACTCATGGAGAGCGGGCGATTGGGGACCTGGGGTCTACCTAAGACCCTTCCCTTAGTCCGGGCGCTCTTAGCGAGCAACCCAATAACTTTGGGCGCCATAGGTCCCTGGGGCAGCGGCGGAGTGGGCAAGGGTGCCTGCCTTGGGCCTGAATCCAGGTCAAACCGGTCCTGTAACGCGTCGCACCCAATGTAGAGGGGAAATGTGGGGGAGCCTTTGGGCCCCCTCCCCCGCTCCTTCCTCCCCATGCCCTCACCCTCTCCTCACCGGCTCCCGCCCTCCGTCCCTCCCCTTGCCCTCCTCCCCCCGGTTCCCTCCCTCCGCGTCGGGGGCGGGGCCGCCGGCTCCCGCGCGCTCCGGCCCCTCCTCGGCCACACAAAGGCCCGTCTCCATGGCAGCCGCGCGGGCCGGAGCGCGCAGCACCCACCGCGGCCCGGGCGCCATCGAGCCGCGGCGGCCGACGTACAGGTACCAGCAGGGGGACCGAGCACAGGGCGGGGGCGGTCGGGAGGAAGGGGGGGTATCGCGATCTGCGTCAGCTCCGCGCTCTGACCGACCGCGCTCGGGGGCACGGGACCCGGAGTTAACGCCCCTCCCGTAGAGGACGATTCGGGGCTGCGGCCTCTGCCGCCGTCTGTCTGTCTGTCCATCGGGCCGCGGAGAAGGCCTATGGCGCTGAGTGGGAACGGGCCCGGCCGGTGGGGGACTACGCTCGCTCGCTCCCCACCGCCGGTGTCCCGTCGAGTCGCTCCGATTCCTCGCTGGTTCTGGCCGTCTCTCTCCGACACCCCCACCTCCTCAGCCGCCTTGATCGCGTACCCGGCGCCGGTCGTCCTGTTGCGCAAGATTCTGCGCAACCACCCCACCCCAACCCACCCAGTCTAGATTTGGGGTGGTCGGGCCCCCTGTGACCAGGCCTAGGCAGTCTCCAGCCCGCACGCCCCGCCCTGGAGTCCCCCGTGGAGGGCCTGGGCCGGGACCCCTCCTTGAGCTGGGGTCTATGGAGAAGGGACTGTAAGGAACTAGGGCAGGTCTGGCTAGGCCGGGGTCCTGCGGCTTCTCCAGCCCTCCTCCAGCAGTTCTTCGGGTGGCTTTGGAGGGGATGTCGGGAATACTCAGCCCCTCAACTCTTGGCTTCCTTCCTTGTTCTCTGCTGGCCCTGCACCTCCTAATGCCTCTTCCTTCAGGAAGCTCCCCTGGATGGACCTCTCCTGTCCCTTCTGAGGACAGGCCGTTTGGCAGAATTGGGGGTCCTGCTTTCCCATTCAGGGAGCTTCCAGCCACGTCCGAACTCTGACTCTTCCCAGCTCCTCGGGAAAGGAAGGAAGGGGTCTGCATGTACTTAGTTTGTGAGCAGTGGAGGCTCATGTTCTGGAGACAGAGGACTTAGTGTCCCTGCTCTCACCCTGGGGAACCCCATTCTATGGTTAACTTAAGCCACTGTGCTTCAGGTCCCACCTCTAAAGGAGGAAGGGGGAACAGGGGGGCTCTCAGTCTGACCCCATGGCATGGAGGGGGACCCACCTGAGACCCCTGGGGCTCAGGGAGCGGAGGTCTGGAGCTGCGTCACATACATAGGAAGAGGTTGGGTTTTTCTATGCTGGTGTGGAAGGCTTTGTGGCGCTAGCCCTCTGAGCAGTGCAGAATTCTTGAGACAGGGACAGACAGGTGGACTTGGCCACTCTGAGCCCACCCCACCCCACAGCACTCCCCACCATCCCTACTGGGGCCTGTCTCTAGTGTGTGGTGGGGGAAGGTTGGGCTAGGGGCTTCTTGCTCCAGGAGAGGAGAGAAGTTACTGAGAAAAACAAGGGTTTGGAATGCAAGTCCCCCTCCCTCTGCCGGCTGCCTGCCAAGGAGGAATTATTTTGGATTATCCAGCCGTGTCCAGCCAGTCGAGGGGGGTGCTGCGGCCGTGGGAGAGGGATCCACTTCCGGACCTGGACCGTGGGTTGTGAGCCCTGGGAGGGAGGGACGGGCAAGTTGGGGCAGCTCCGAAGCCTTAACTGTTCAGAATGGCAGGAGGCGGGGTGGAAGCCAGATGCGTCAGTCACCCTGGGGTTGGAGAAGACTGTGTTGGCCCAGCAGCAGACCTTTCCGGGGGAGGCCATGAGGCAGGATCAAGGGGGAGTTGAGTCTGGGGACCCCGGTACCACGGTCCTCAAGGTCCTCTAAGAGGCTCCCCACACTCCCAAGACTTGGCTGAGTCAATGAGGAAGGAAGAAGGCAGGGGTGGAGGGTTGGCCATCAGGGTGGGTGCGCTGGGGTCTCCTTTACACCCTGGACTTGGGCTTCCTGGGAGTAGTGATAGGCAGACAGCATCTACCTGCACACTCTGCTCCCTTTCACTGATGATGTGTGCTCCCCAGCAGAAGTGAGGGCCCTCAAAGATCCTGGTGCATGTGGTTTGCTTCCTGGGGGCACGTGGGCCTGTGGCTGTGTGCCCGCCACGTCAGGGAGGCCAAGCTGCCAGCTTGGCGTGGAGTGCGGTGGCCCCAGGAGTCTGGCTACATCCCAGGCTGAGTGGAGCAGAAGAAATGGGATTGGAAGGCAGCCTGGGGAGGGCCCGTATGGCATCTGCACCCCCTATAAGCCTGGCATGATTGCAGACTCCTGGCTTTGTAGGGCTCAGGCCTTCTGGGAATGTCACCCCATCCTGTCCCCTGCCTTGTGCTCACCTCATGTGTGCTGGGGCATCCGGCCCAACTCCACTGAGGTGCTAGGCCCTGGCCACCAAGGGTTGTCTTCCTGAGAGCAGGAAGTCCTTACCATGTTCCACCTACCATGGCCGAACCTGCAAGGGCATGGGGCCAGGCT